GAAGGCCTTAATGAAAGCAGGGACTTGGTAATTAATAGATCTACCAAAAGGGAAAGGCACTGTTGGATGCAAGTGGGTGTTCACTGTGGAGCATAGGGAGGATGGGTCCATTGAAAGATACAAGGCTAAACTCGTAGCAAAGGGATTTACTCAAAAGGAAGGAATTGACTACAAAGAAACATTTGCTCCGGATGTGAAGAATGCCTTTTTAAATGGTGATCTACATGAGGAGGTATTCATGGATCCTCCACCAGGTTATGAATTTTGGCAGGAAAGTGTGTAGACTGAGAAAAGCACTATATGGCCTTAAACAGTCCCCTCGAGCTTCGTTTGAGAAGCTATGTGGAGCCATGAAGAAAGGTGGTTATACTCAAAGCGGGGCAGATCATACCCTATTCATAAGGAAGAGAAATGGGAAACTTATAGCTCTTATCGTCTATGTAGATGACATGGTAATTACTGGGGATGATAAGAGATTAAAAGGTTAAAGGAGGTCCAAGCTACTGAATTTGGAATCAAAGACCTGGGTCAACTAAGATACTTTCTAGGGATTGAAGTTGCTAGATCCAAAGAGGGCATCTATATATGTCAACAGAAATACATCCTTGACCTTCTAGAGACAGGCATGTTGGGGTGCAGGCCAGCAGATACTCCAATAGAACCAAACCATGGTCTACAGGAGTCGGTAGGAGAGGACTACCCTGATAAGGAAAGATACCAAAAGCTAGTGGGGAAGTTAATTTACCTGKCCCTCACTYGTCCTGACATTGCTTATGCTGTTCATGTTGTCAGTCAGTTCATGCACAATCCAAAAATTCCTCACATGAAAGTTGTAGAAAGGATTCTCAGATATTTGAAATCTTGCCCTGGGAAAGGGATTCTGTTCAGAAAAAACAATAAAATTGAAGTTGAAGGGTATACTGATGCAGATTGGGCTGGTTCTGTGGGTGACAGAAAGTCGACTTCAGGATATTGCACCTTTGTTGGAGGAAATTTAGTTACATGGAGAAGTAAAAAACTGAATGTGGTTGCCAGGTCTAGCGCAGAGGCTGAATATCGGGCTATGGCTCATGGTGTGCGGAACTGTTGTGGCTTAAGATTCTTCTTAGTGAACTGGGAGTGAAGATTGAGTGTCCTCTCAAGTTGTACTACGACAACAAGGCTGCCATCAACATTGCAAATAACCCAGTGCAACATGACAGAACAAAACATATTGAGATAGACCGTCACTTTGTTAGAGAAAGAATAGTCTCAGGAGAACTCTGCATTCCTTACACTCCCTCAGAGATGCAGATTGTAGATGTCTTAACTAAAGGGCTAACCACAGTGAAATTCTTGGACTTACTTGGCAAGCTAAACATGATTGACATCCATGCTTAGCTTGAGGGGGAGTGTTGGTTCGGCTGATATTTTGTTATCCTCTTGTCTRGGTTGGGTATTAAGTCTTTAGTTAATGGGCCTTAGTTACTGGGCCTATTTTTATTTAGTGTCTTATTTGACTRGGTGTCCCATCACTAATCAGGGGCATCCTGGTCCTTTTATGTAACTTTATGTACTGTTATTATATAAGTGAACAGGGCTGGCTGATGAACAATGCCCATTCGAACAGTTCTTTTCTCCTCTTCTTCTTCCTCTTCTTCTCTGTTCACTTGACAGGTTCAGTTCGGCAAACAAGTACAAAACTGCTTGGCCACTAGACGAGGCAAGCCTCAAAGGGTGCCTTATCGCCTAGGTATCGCCTTAACAACTATAGTTTGTTGAAGGTGAACTTAGAAAAGAGCTTATTGATAGGAGCGGGAGATCTAAGTAGGGCGGCTGTGGAACAATTTGCAGTGCTGTTGGGTAGTAAAGTTGGGGAGCTACCTTTTCACTATCTTGGGCTGTCGATGGGGTCTAACTCAGCAGTGGTTAACATTTGGAGGCCTCTTATAGAGAGAGTGGAGAGGAGGTTGGACAGGTGGAAGGCCAAGGTATTGCTCATTGGGAAGCAGAACACTCTCAAAAGGAGTATTCTTTCTAGCCTACCAACTTATTACCTCTCATTGTTAAAGGTTCCTGAGGAGATGGCTGTGAAAATTCAGAAGATTCAAAAGGATTATTTCCTATGGGAAGGGCTGGGTGGTCCAAGAAGTTTCACTAGTCAAGTGGGAAAAGGTGTGTAGGTCAAAGGAGGGAGAGGCTTAGGCTCAGAAGGATAAAATCCTTTAACAAAGCATTACTAGGGAAATGGCTGTAGAGATTTGGGCAAGAGAGAGAAAGGGAAGCTTTATGGAGGAGGGTGGTGGTTGGAAAATATGGAGTGGTAGGGTTTGGGTGGGAACCGAGAAAAGTAAGAAGTTCTTATGGATTATGTGTTTGGAAAGGAATCATGAGATTTAACCAGGAGTTCAGGGGCTTGATTAGATTCAAAGTGGAGATGGGTCTAGAGTTAGGTTGTGGGAAGATGAATGGCTCGGGATAGGGAAACTATGTGATGCTTGTCCAGCTTGTCCAAGATTATACAGGTTGACTGAACAACAAATCACAATTGATCAGTGTTACGAGTGGAGAGGGGAGCAGCCAGTTTGGAGAAGTTAGAAGGCATCGGTACTTCTAGGTCCACAGGAGATGGTTTATGGTGGAAAGAGTGCAAAGAAGGAAGATTCTCAGTGAAGTCATTCTACAAGGCACTAGTAAGAGAGAGTTTGGAGTCAGGTCAGATAAAAGGTGTGGGGGGTAATCTGGTACCCCTCCAAGGGTAGAGGACTTTGTTTGGTTGGCAGAGCATGACAACATTCTTACTACTGACCATCTAAAGACAATTCATATGGCAACCTACTGTTATTTATGCAACATGGGGGAGGAGACAGTCCTTCATTTGTTCTTCTCGTGAAGTGTAGCAAACTTGATTTGGAAGTTCTCCTTCTTGTTTGGAGTGAGTGTCTTCCAACCTTTATCTCCAGCAGAAATCTTTTCCAAATGGACAAAACTCAAAGGAAGTAAGAAAGCTAGAATCCTGTGGAGCTGCATTCCATTTGCAGTCTGCTGATCTATATGGAACAAGAGGAACAGAAGGGTATTTGAAGACAAGTCAAAGAGCATTGATCTTCTGGTAGCAGCAATGAGTAATTTGATATCAGATTAGGTGTTGCGGCTTCCAAAGTGAACAAAGTAGATCTCTTAGAGATTTTTGGAGTACTCTTAATTTGCATCCTTGTAATTAAGAATTATTTTCAGTTTGAGTTGTCTAGCTTTTGGTTGGTATGTCAACTTGACAACCCGCTGATATGTAATATACCTCTTTTTCAGATTAATTAATTTTCTATTTATCCTTCAAAAATAAAAAATTTTTTGGTTGTCCTCTTGACCTTGTTTTCTCCATCACAAACACTTATGCCTCTATTCAAATTTTGAATTCTTTTTTGTTTCCATTCCTACACTGGTGAAAATCCATCCTCCATATGCATAATCTTGTACTCTAAGTTTTCTTCAAAGAAAGGTGTTTATCTAGAATCCAAAAGATAATATACAAATGAAACAACTTCTTTCCAAAGGACCAAACTCTTTTATCAAACTTGGGGTTATAGATGGATGCACTTCTTCTCATACACATTGACTAGACAATGACAAAAATGTTTTCTCCTCTTTTCAAGAACATTTGGACATATTGAACTTCTTTGACACCATCGGGGTTGGTGATAACGTGAAGAGAAGGAAGGTGGGGTGAAGAACTTCAGGGGTTGGGGTTGAAAGGAAAGAAACAGAGGTTCAAAGGAAGAGTGAAGCGGTTGCAGGGAAGGGAGAAGAGGAGAGACAAGGGGCCGAAACTGAAAAGAACACTGAGAAGAGAAAGTGAGTATTAACTGTCTGTGGATTGACAGGTAGGTGGAGGTTGGGAAGTCTTTGGGCCTATTCTTCCTGAGAGAGGAAGGGTTAGTGAGGAAGGCAATTTAAAAATTTGAGAAAAGTAGAAGAGAAGAGCAAATCAAAAAGAATTTAGTCAGGGAAGGGGGTGAGGCATGGGAGGAAGGAGAAGAGGGGGTGGGGAAGGAATAACTGATGAAGAATAGAGGGAGAACGCTAAAGCTTAGAGGGAGTGTGGAGTTTAAAGTTGAAGTTGAAGTTGAAGCTAGTATATCATGGATGATTAGGGGCCTGAGAGATGAAAGAAGAATGGTTATAAGGAATCTTTCTGAGAAAACAAAATCTAGAGGTAGTGATGTTGCAAGAGACAAAGATGGAGCCTATTGAGCTGAGAATAAAGAATGAATTTTAGTGGTCTATCGGGAGATGCATTATCATCTGGGATTCAAGGGTCCTTAGAAAGACCGGAGTGAAGCTGGAAGTGTTTTCAACTTCAATTTGCTTCCAAATGGTGGAAGGGCAGTGGAGGTGGGAGCTTACAAATATGTAGGGCTGGATGGAGTGAGGGTGGAATTTTTGCAGACTGGATCTTAGTTTAATCAGATTTTGGCCAATTTTTCAAGAGGCCTCTAGAGATAAGCTTGGAAGTAAAGGGTTTCATATGTATAATCTGGATAGTCTATTTATGATTTGTATTTGACATGTTTCTGTTAGAGTAGCTGGCATGTGGATGTTGCCTTAACACCTGGATAGGATGTAATATTTTTATTTTTTTAATGAAATTTTGTTTTATTTTTACTATCAAAAAATAATAAAAGTATCCTCTTGGCTCAGAGGACCAAACTCTTTGATCAAACAAGGAGTTCCAGGTGGATGCACCCTTCTCTAGTCAGAGGTTATTTCATTAAACTCTGTCCTAAGATTGTTGTTGTCCCACCACAGATTTTTCTGAAACTTAATTTTCGCCCCACTTCTAACAACAAATTTGGTGAAAGATGTAAAGCAAAAATGTGAATCACCATATACATTTTCCTTCTTTTTTGTCTCCCCGTTGTCAAAGGTGTAGCATGTCCAAAAGCAGATATTATCACAACAGTTTCCATAACCATAAGTACTATTTTATTAAGTACAACCTTTGGAATTGAGTAATGAAATACCTGGATTTTCATATGTAACAAATCCTATCCCCCGATGTTGCTTTGTTACTGGATCCTAGAACGGATCAAAATATCAGATTTCAATGCCTCGATATAAATGGATAAGTCAAATAACATATTTCAAAACTCAACATAAATGAAAAAGATAAACATAACAACTAAGGCCATCTCAAACAGCCAGTGGGTGTTTGGAAGAAATACTGAATCCGAACCAATTTCCAGTTATGCCTGGACCTTGGAGATAGATGGGCAAAACTAGAAAATTGCATTTAACCCCATACTTGATTATGATACTTCACTAGGTCTTGGACTGAACTGCTTTTGATATGCCAACTAGTGAGATCCATCAAGGGTAGAATATATGGGCATGTTGGGGCAGTTTAAGAAATTACTTGAGTGGGTGATCATAGTGATAGGATTGGCCCATTTTTTAGACAAAGTGAATATCATGGTTTACACTCTCTCTGATGGAAATCTAAACTATTGGCAGTGGATTTCAACTATATTTGAAATCTGATTTGCAAAATGTATTTATATGTTATACTGCTATTTTATGAAAAGGATTTGCAATAAGATTTTAATCCCGAGATCCATCTGAGCAGAGAGTCACACTGCATTTTATAGTCAAGGAAAAGGTCCTTCCCTATGAGCAATGTTTTGATGATTATGGGCCGAGAGGTTAAGTGCAAGAGACCATTACAAGGCTTATTACCTAATGGGCTTCATCTTACATAAGTCTATCATCCTTGGGTCTTCATAGGGTGGCTTGAATCGAAGGATCATTTATGTTTAAATGTTGGACCCAAACTAAGTCCAAGCTAATTGGGCCAGGGGTTCACTACCCCTGGGCAAAGAATTCGGCCTAACCTCTTTTAGTGTAAGGCTGGACCCTTATGGACTTATATGAGACCTTTGTGGGTCCCGTCCCACGCTATACAATGATCAAGCCTATGTGGCCTTACAATGCCTAAGTAAACCATTAAAGAAAATGGGCCTAAAGCCCATAACTAAAGTGATTATTTAAGTGATCACCATAGTCTTCAAGGCGCCAAGGCAAAGCTAGGCAAGAGGGGGGCACCTTGTCGCCTAGGCGGGTGCCTAGGCATCACCTAGGCGATGGATTTTTTTTATGTAAAAATCACATTTCCTAGGGTGGTTCCCTAGGTTCCATAACCAACTTTCTTTAATAACTATCTGTAATTTTCATAAGAAAATTATAAACTTCATGTTTAAGTCTAGAAAATCAGCATATTTATGAGAAGAAAAAGAAGAAAGGAAAGAAAATCCAAAAAATATAGGGGCTGAACCCCTATTTTTGTTATAGGAAAAGAAGAAAAGAAAAGTTAGAAGAAGAAGAAGATGTGGAAGAAGAAATGTGTTGATTAGACAAAATTTTAAGTTCTTCCCTTATTGGTTCAGATTTTGAAGTCATTGAGGGTTCAATACAGCAGTTAGCAATGTTTGTGTTGATTAAACCCTAACAAATAAGAAAATAATAAAAAGGAATTAGTTTATAAACAAAAAAAATGAATATT